GAATCAATTAGTGAGGGAGTGTGAGTGTAATTGAGTGTAGATTGTGAGTGAATTAGCGAATATAAGTGGATGATTTAGAGAAGGATAGAGAAGTAATTCAATGAGACATGGAATATGTAAATGTGTGAGTGCGGGAATGTATGTGTGATTGAGGGTGCAGATAGTAAGTGGAAGAATAAATGATTGAGTGATTCTGAGAAGGAAAGAGGGATTCATTGAGGCATCGATAGTGTAAATGTTTGAGTGGGGGAGTGTGTGTGTGTGTGTGTAATTGGGTGTTTAGATTGTTAGTGAGTCATCTAGTGAGAGAGTGGATAAGTAAATGCGTGAGAAGATGTGTGTATGAGTGATTTAGTGCAGGATTATGAAGGTAGTGGAAAATGCTTTTTATTTGTACTTTGTAGTAACTAACAATTTTAAAGTTTCCTTTAGTTAATAAAGTTTTATAATATTAAATTTACCAATGTGCTCAGCTTATTTCCTATTTGTCTAAAACTATATTCTGAAATTTATTCATAGAAAATTTTTGGATACTGAAAGTTTCATGCAAAAGGTCGACATAAATCACAGTTAACGAGATATTTTCACCCCGGCAGACGACAATGAGCTGGCCCACTTTAGTTGCCCACTCGGCGAAAAAGTTGTGAACGGCTTGCTTCGAATACAGACTCATTTTTTTTGCAACTGGAAATAGAAAAACCTTTGGACAAGAAGTTATTTAAGGTAATACGTCTTATAAAAGAACGGAAAGCGACAAAACCCATCTATCTACAAGAAAAACTCGATCGAAAATGTTTTACTCAATTGGAGGAGAAAGCCAGCTTGCCAATTATTTATCTCTGTCTTCCTAGTAATTTGTCATCGGTTCAAGTCAAATCAACCATTCGTGAAACTGGCACTAAAGAAAAAAAGCGGTACTTTACAAATTACTTGATAAAGTGCCAAACATGCTTTTCATCAACAAGTGTTTGGCATTGTTTAGGGTTAAATCGGTTTTTTATTGAACATTCGGACGGAAAATACATTTCCAGTTATCGAGACACCATTATGACTGGAGGATCTGACAATTCCAATTCACGGCCGGGCATGTTCCAATCGATGGATGACTGATTCGTTTAACGTGTGACCAATTGATGGGAAGTGGCAGAGCTCTATTTTTCTACCAGGTCAGACGATTTATGCTGTTTGACCATGCGTTTTAAACACATAAAAGGATGATTAAATTAGGCAGTAATTAGGCAGTTTTGCCACCTGATATGTCAACCATTTCCGCTTTTCTACAATATTATTAGTTGACAATTATATAGAATAACCTGCGGTCCCATATTAAATTTCTCGCTATAGGTTTTCCTAGTTTTCGAAATAACCCTTCCTTAGAAGGTATTTTAGATTTGTTAAAAACCAATTGGTATGTATATATTTATTTTATTACTTATATGTATTCGGCTATTCGTGTTGCAAACTTTGCAAGTAGATTCTACATTCAAAATGAAACCAAAAAGACGTAATTAACTGTGGTCCAAATCTCAACAGTTTTGGAGTTATTCCTCTTTTTCTGATTTTTTAAGATTTCACGACCTTGTTCTCCAAAACAGAAAGGTCTTCTACCGTGCAAACCCGTCAACCACGGTTTTTACCTGTCCTTCATCAATTTCTTCATCTTTGAAAAATGTAATTATAAAAGCAATTACACCACTAAAAAGGATATTAAATAGAGTACGTTTTACGTTTTCTCAAATTTCCTCTCCAGGTTTGGAAGTAGTAGTTTAGAATCACCGTAGTAAGTTTTTCAACAATGAAAAAAGAATTATTTTTCAAAGTTCTGGCTACTAAAACACATTTTTTATCAACGTTTAAAAGTTTAGTATTAATCATATCTTAAATTTAACGTAGTTTTCAATGCTAACAACGGAGTTGTCCAAAACTTTTCTGTTTTGGAGTTATCATCGTTTATTTGATTAAAAAATCAGAAAAGGAGACTAACTCCGAAACTGTTGAGATTTGGACCACAATTAATTAGAACTTTTTGGTTCTATTTTAAATGTAGAATCTATTGGCAAAGTTTATAACACGAGTAGCCGAACACCGTGTATAATAGGTAAAATGTTGTCCATTGCTCTTTCCTTAACTCCTAAATTCAGTTCGTTCCCTTCTAGATCTATACGAGTTTAGCCTTTAATTTTGCTATTCATCAACTGGACATTCAAATGTCTTAGACATCGCATTTAATTTTATATGGTAGGATCTGCTGTTACAATTCATAATCTGTTCCTACCTAATTGCTGAATGTACAATGCTTTTTATCCGAAGAAAAGAACGGTCTTTGATCCTTATACTAAAACTAAATACTTATCTATTCCACACTTCGATTGTTCCCTAAACCAAAAAATCCAACACATTATGTGCGATCATTTTTACCAATAAATCTGTTATCGTTTTAAAGATTTTTTAAAGAAAAAGCTCCTGGTAAAAGGAATCCTTCTAATCCTAAATTCGTTAAATATAATTCTTGACCATAATTTTGGTTTTTGCAAATGTTACTCAGTTACCGTAGCACTGCCATCAAGTAGTATACTCTTCTCTTGAGTTATCCAGTACTGTTCGGAGGCTTTCTTGACGTTAGGCAAGCTTTTGATTGTGACCGATGCTTGCTGTTCATGTTCATGTTCTCATATTGAACAACTATCGCTGACCGGGTTTTCCGAGTTGTTTTATTATCCTATTCAGGCTGGTATCCTCGGAGTAGTGTATTGAATCTCTTCCACCATTTTAACCTAGAATGAATTACCAGCACCAAACTGGGAGAAGGCCAAACAGGTAATATCTTGGGAGGCCTACAAATGGGCGGTACAGTCCTTCACGAAATACAAGGCAGCCGGGGTGGATGGAATATTCCCTGCCCTCCTTCAACAGGATGCACCCAGTCTATCTAGTAGTGTGGGATCTCCTAAGGAATAGTCTGGCATTGGGACATATACCAAAATGCTGGAAGGAAATAAAAGTAATTTTCTTACCCAAACCAGGTAAAGCCTCATATCAATTACCTAAATCATATAGACCTATAAGTATATCTTCTATTTTCATAAAAATAATAGAGAAAATTTTAGATAAATATATTAGACATGATTGTGGGATTAATACAATGATACATCCCAATCAAAATGCCTATTTACCAGGAAAATCAGTGGAAACGGCTTTGCATTCACTGATAGGCAGGATTGAGAAATCATAATAATGAATATACACTAGGCTGCTTCTTCGATATCCAGGGGGCGTTTGATAATGCTGATACTTCTTACATTATATCAGCGCAGATAATTACTATGTTGACCATCACCTTACTAGATGGGTGAAGACCTACTTGGAGGGAGGGATGGTCAATATGTGCTTAGGTTGTAGCACTCTTAGAATTAATGTCAAAGGAAGCTGTCCACCGGGAGGCTGCTTGTCACTGGTTAATTACTGTTTAATAGAACTTCTGAATAATTCAGGTTTCTACAGTCAATTATTTTCAGATAATGGTCCATAATGCTCACAGGTAGGGATTTGACCATTGACTCTTCTTCAAATGCCATGGGATTGCTTTAAGAGTGGTGTTGTGATAAAGGTTTATCAATTAATCCAGCTAAACTGGAATTGATAATGGTAGGAGAAGAACATTAGGTAATTTTAAAAACCCTAAATTTCAGGCATAGAATTAAAGTTAGTGGATTCAATCAAATTCCCTGGTTTGACGCTTGACAGGAAACTTGACTGGAAAGGCCACATTAAAAACATATACAGGAAAGGCATATTATCTATGGTACAATGTAGGAGAATTGTCGGTAAAACGCGCACGTGCGCGTGTGTGTGTGTGTGTGCGCGCGTGTGAGAGAGGGATTATTTTGTTTAACTATCACTCAAGGTTTGATCTCTAGGACCACTTTTACACCTAAATTGAAATTACAGCAACATGATTTTATAAACTATTCAACCAACTATATACCAAAAAGTTTAACAAATTAATTATCTCTTACAATATGCTTGTTTACAGTGGATTAACACATTCAAAATAAAAAGTAATCTTGAAATAATAACGAACGTAACTTCTATAAGGAAAATTACTAACAATAGACATTTGTAAGGGTTTAAAATTATAAACTTAAATGACAGTTGTAAAGATACATTATCAACGCTTTAACATGGCAATCTTTGTACTTAATTGAGGAAAAAGAGAGAAAAAATTTAAATTACAGTTTAATATTTTACACATATTTTGATATAAAATAATTTTATAGTTTTTTTCTAAATGCACTTATTTCATTACAATGCTGAATTTCAACTGGCAATTTCGAAAACACGTTTGCACTTTTAATTGACATATTGTTGTTCTATGATTTAAAATTTGTAATTGCTTAGTTTTATACCTTGTGTTTGTATTATGTACATCACATGTATATTTTTTTAAAAATATGTATGTAGGTTTTCCATTTTTAACACATTGAAGATGATACGTGGTAAATTATAATCAATTGAATCATTAATTTTTAAAAACTGGAGTTAAGAAAATTTATCATAAATTCTATCATCATATTTTAATTTAAGTATATATCTTACACACATAGTACACCAACACCGAGAGAGAGAGAAAGAGAGAGAGAGAGAGAGAGAGAGAGAGAGAGAGAGAGAGAGCGAGAGAGAGAGAAAGAGAGAGAGAGAGAAAGAGAGAGAGAGAGAGAGAGAGAGAGAGAGAGAGTGAGAGAGAGAGAAAGAGAGAGAGAAAGTAAGAGAGGTGTAAACAGGTGGAAATAGAGTGTGAGAGTGAGGGAGAAAGATAGAAAGAGTTGGGTGAGTGAGTTAACGCGTAGGTGAGGGAGAAAGGAGAAAAAGGGAGTGAGTGTGAATATGTATGTGAGAGAGAGAGGGAGAGTAGGGAGTTTGCTTCTTGATTTCTATGATAAAATGTCAACAACTGCACTGCAATATCTACTTTCGGTGAGTTGATAATGCATTACACTCACCTTGTCCTCGGGGATCGGGTCGTTTTTGTTTCGGCAGACAGCAGCAAAAAATATTCTTGAAGTAATGTCAGGAGGAGAATAAAGTTCATCTAGCCACCTGAAAAAAAAGCGTAAGTATTAATCAAGAGTATCAGGTAAAGTCAAACGGTTGACGAGAATCAGGTTCCAGTCAAACAACAGCAATCAACTGTTTAAACTCAATAAATTCATACAACGATGGAATCCCTTGAAACTCAATTCGGTGTTCCCTCGTTTGATTTTTCAGAAATGGCAAGCCTAGTCATCCAGTCAATTTTTTTCCGGCGCCCACAGCAATTTAACGCTAACTAAATTGCTTGTCTAAGTAATTATATTGCCGACTTTTTATAGTTCTTAAAATTGGTATGATTTCCTCACTACTATTTTATTTGTAATGCAATTACATATTTAAATTAAAATTTCAAAAAATTATTATGCAACTTTTGTTTATAGTAACTATACATTACTATACACTATGCTTGTACTTCTCGTAGATTTTTTCGCGTTATTAAAAATCTTAGAAATATCATATAAATGCAAATGCAACGGAAACTTATACATCTTGAAATTGTACCAACTTGTCAGCAAGTTCATATTTAATTCAGACGTTCTTTGTTTTTCCGCCTAGACAACCGAACAACCGAACCGTAGAATTTTACTACGCTCAAAATACAGGGATAAATGGAATTAAGTAATATAAGACCGAATGTCTACCCCATCGGAAATCCATCCGTTTATTATGCTAATCTTCTGGAAGAAACCCGTCACTAATGAAAGGGAAAAGGCTTTAGATCAAAGTTGGATCCTTCAGCAAGTTTATCCAACAATAAGTGATGGATCTGTCACAACTCGTCGAACTGAAATCGAGTTGCGAAGACTCGCCCATACTCGGTCGTTGAAGAAGCGGGACTGCATTCGTAAAGAAGAAACGAATAACGCAAAGTGAAAACGAATGTCTTTGGACGAGAATTCATTCCCATGAACGTAATAACATTATAAAACAATAACCTTACATAAATAGTGACCAAAAGTATTTTTACAGATATACATAAACAGAAAGAGATAGAAATTCAACAAATGGGGGGAGGGCATTAGAGATCGAAGGAGTGAGAATAAGAGAAGGAGAAATAGGAAAGAGAAAGGAAAGAGAGAAAAGGGAAAGGAGAGAGAGAGAGAGAGAGAGAGAGAGAGAGAGAGAGAGAGAGAGAGTGTGTGAGTGACTCAGTGAAAGAGGAGAAACTAAATGACTGAGAGAGAGGAAAGAGTGAGGGTGACTGAGTGAACATGTGGTGGAAAGAGTAGATAGAGAAAAAAAGAGGGAGAGTGAGAATGAATAAATACTATTATTTAAAAAATCTCACAAATTTAGGTAGACCTCTTTCCAAATTAACGAGTAAGAGAGGTGTGAGGAGTGAAACTAAGGGAGATAGAACGAAAGAGGGGTTAGTGAGTGCGTAAGTTAATGAGTGAATGAGTGACAAAGGAGAAAAAGAGAGTAAGGGGGAAAGAATTGAGACAGGAAAGAACGAGATGAAAACACATAGTACTGTTTAATTCACAAAATCTCACAAATTTTGAAGAGAATGACTGACTATGCGATAAAGGAAAACGAAAGAGTGCGAGGGAGTGAATGAGAGAGGAGAGAGCGAGAGAAAAAGAGATCGAATGTAAGAAGGAATGGATGAATACTCTTTTGTTTAAACAATCTCACAAATTTTGGAGACAATGAGTGAATGAGTTAAAGCGTGTGTGAGAGGAAAGAGAGTGAGTGAGATAGAAAGAGAGTGAGAGGGAGGGAATGAGAGAAGAGAGGGCGAGAAAAAATGAGATAGGACGTGAGAGTGGGAAGGAATGAATGAATCCTTTTTTATTTAAACACTCTCACAAATTTTGAAGAAAATAAGTGAGTGAGATAGATAGATAGATAGATAGATAGATAGATAGATAGATAGATAGATAGAGAGAGAGAGAGAGAGAGATAAAAAAATAGAAATAGAGATGGAGATAGATATAAATAGATAGATAGAGATGGATAAAGATAAAGATAGAGATGGAGATACAGGTAGAGGTAGAGATAGATAGAGATAGAGATAGAGATAAAGATAAAGATAAAGATAGAGATAGAGATAGAGATAGAGATAGAGGTAGAGATAGAGATAGAGATAGAGATGGAGATAGAGATAGGGATAAAGATAGAGATAGAGGTAGAGAAATTTTTACAAACTGGAGTTGGGAATATTTAAATATTTAAATTCTATCATCATATTTTGAGAGAGGAGAGAGGAGCGAGAGAGAGTGAGAGAGAGAGAGAGAGAGAGAGAGAGAGAGAGAGTGAGAGAGAGAGTGGGAGAATGATTGTGATGTGTGAGTTGGTTGGTTCGTCTTGTATGATAGTGTACATATTTGCCTTTGTAACGCGCGTGTGCGTCTTTTCGTTGATTTACCCAAATATGTGGTTTGATTTAAAAAAAAAAGTTACTATTATTCTGTTCCGTAATTTGCACATCAGCGCTTTTTTTCGTAGTGAAGGAGGTCGATAAATTTATAATCATTACTTTAGTCATTAACAATAAAACTGTATGAACTTTACACCAGTGCTTCAAATAGCTCGTCCTGGTTAGGTTCGAAGATTTTTCGGTGTTCAAACACTTAGCCGAACTTATGAAAACGGGATATGGAAAAAGTAAACAACTTTTTAAAAATTCCCTCAAGGAACCAACTCCTTCCCGCGGTAATCCGCCCATTATGGCCCTTTAGTTTTTCTAAGCTTTTCTGCTACACTGAACTCGCCGATAATTGGGTCGGAAAAGTAATTAACTGGCTAAACAATGAAATAAACTTGACGGGATAATGAATAACTTTTATTGAAGGTGTTTCCAATTTGCGATACCCTCGAAACTCGACGGAAATGGCAAGTCACTTTTTTGACTTTTCGAAACAACCCTTATGATTTTAAAACTTCAAATCTATGTAACAAAATTTTCTTACACGTAAATAATTATACGATGACATAGCATCAAAACAAGCAAATAATCGAGAAACATTTCTTGCTAGCATTATGTAATTTTTTTTAAATTAACCAACCAAAATTAAATTAGTAATAACCTCTTGTATAAGGCAAAAATATCACCTTTTCTTGCTTAAATTTATACGAATCGTATATAGTACTAAATAATCTATAATTATTTAAGAATTCCTTCCAGATCTTAAATGAAACTTAACTGGAAGGTTTCGGAGGAAAGGAAAGACGTGAAAAATCGCCTTGTTAAAAAAATTGTGGGAGGAACGAAATACGTCTCAGCAGGCAACTGTCCTCTACTTATTCCCATCAATCTTTCTTTAGAGGAAATAGGTATAGATGAAGATAAGAGAGAGAGTTTATCAATAATGTTCTGTTTTAGATTCTATGATGTGAAGAATTATAGGGATCATCCTGGCAACCAGATTTCCTTCACAATTCAAGGTTTAAAAGAAAATGGAAAAAGTTCTACATTTTGAAATGTATATACAAAAACTCTATTTCAACGTCGACTAAGCAAAATTCCTTTTACAAAGGAAGAGTTGTTTATCCCTGAATATCGATGTGAAACCCTATAGTGACGATTTTATAAATGCTAGCCAAACGTCAACACCTTGGCAATACGTACCAATTTAACAACATCCAAACGGCCATATTTGATTATTTATTCAACTGGGTTGAGAAATAAAAATACGAATTCTGAGTTCCTACGATATTGTTGTTCGATCTGTTTGTGTATGCTGTGAAAGTTAATTTGGGCACTGGAGCGACAGGTAAGAAAGAAGTCCTTCCCCGTATTTCATTGTACTGTATGTATGTATAAACGGGACTGTTGCTATTATTACCGTTTTGTTGAATTTGTTATATTGCTCCTATATAAATATTATTAATTATAATATTATATTATATTTAAGACTTTATCAATGTTTATCTATCAGATGTCCAATTAAATACTGCATGTTATCAAAATCCGAACACATACGAGTTTGTACCAGAAATTTCGAATTCGTTTAGCTTTTTATTTATAACTTGTTTTTTTGTATTTGTTATTATTAATAATGTAGATTTTTAAAATAAAATTGTACTTTTGATGATAGATTGAAGCGAGCTCAGTCAGAGGGATGATTCATGTCGTATTTTGGCTGTAAATAACATTTTCCTGTGCGAACGAAATTTTGGTAGATAACAAAGAGAGGGTGGGAGTGAGTGATAAAGATACAGATATAGAATGAAAAGGGCATTAGAGATCGAAGGAGTGAGAATAAGAGAAGGAGAAATAGGAAAGAGAAAGGAAATAGAGGAAAGGGAAAGGAGAGAGAGAGAGACAGAGANAAACAGTGAGAGCGACATAATGAAAATCACAGAAACAAGAGATCGGTGGTATGTTATGGAGCCCAAGTCTGGGGATATTAGAATTTGCCGGAAGTAGAAAAAGTTCAAAAATATTTTACGAAAAGGCTATTTATTCTACTCCCACCGAAAACACCGGATTATATAATATATGTGGAAACCACAAGCTCACCTCTTTACAATTGCACACTAAAATAACATCTAAATTATATCCGTACAGTATTAAATCTTCCCCCAAACAGACAAACCAATTTCCTGGCCAATGTAATAATAGATAAAGAAATATCTTGGTATAAACATCTAGTGCAAATAGGCAACCAGGTGCAATTAGAAATTAATAAAAAAGATCTTAAAACGTTTAATTTGGAGAATTTAATAAGTAAAATTGAAATTAAAACAAAAACTAAAAAAAAATTCGAACGGTTGGTTGGGATGGGAAGTTGGTGACCGAGAGGATCAAAGTCACAATAGCTCAAGTGGTAGAGCAGCCGCGTATTTAGCCGTAGGTCGTGGGTTCGAATCCCGCTCGTGACACTAACTTTTTCATTTCAACTAATACCTTACATACAGATTAATTAATTGAAATAAAATAAAAATAAATTTAAAAAATAAATAAATAAACGATGATTACTAAACTTAAGAAAAATCTCTTTATACACAATTGTAAATAATAAATTAGGCAACTTGACAAAGGCTTACAGCTATCGTCT